TTGAATTTATAAAATATTTAACATGTTTTAATTTATATTTTTTAATCTATTTGAAACTAACGATTTTTTTTTAATTTTTTTTAACTTTTAAGGGTACAACCTGCATTTATGCTAAGTTGCTCATAGCATCAAGAGGCATTTGAGGAAGAAATAATCTTTAAAGGTTATCTGCATTCAAGATTATTTGTTGTTGTTTTTATCCATTGTTGAAGACTGAAAATGATTTGCTATTATTTGTTGAAGACTATTTGTTGTTGTTTTTATCTATTGTTAAATACTTTTAATAATTTGTTGTTATTTGTTGCACATTTTACCATTAGAAACTTGAAAGTGTCTATTTGGCATTAAGCCATTAACTGGTTGTATATTTTGTCACAACACTCTTGTCTATGCTAGCATAAATTGTATTTGATTGTAATTGTCTAATTTTTTTCTAACATATCCATAATTATTGTTTCATTCAACCATACTTTGTAATTCTTACTGATTTGAATAACGATAAAATATATATATATATATATATAAACAAGTAATAGACAAAAACATAATTGAGGGCGCCAAACCTTGTTTGCAGTGTGTTGGACTGTTGGGTTGCTTGGGAATGGATTCCATATTTAAAACACTACATAATAAATTATGAAATTAATTTAACTCAAATTTATTACTAGCTCAAGTCAATTTCTATTAATTGGGTTTGACTCTTTTAAAAAAAATAAATAAATTTTATTAGAACTAGAGTTTATGCCAACTGAAGTCTTTATACAAAGAGTCAAAGACTTCTTTTAGCATATAATAACTGGTCCATGTTTGATTATAAATCGTACAATTATAAAATAACTACCACTTTAATTCTTATGATAATTTCTCAATCTTAAGTTGAGCTTAAAAACAAAAGAGAATTAGCTTCCCACCCTCTACCCCAAAAGAACCCGAATTTAATTAAAAAAGAAACTCAGCACTATGCCTAAGCCTCTGTCACCCTTTTATACTATTTTCCTCCAACCATTAAAAACCATTTTCATTCATTACTTTTCATTATATCTATTAGACCCACATTTACATGTATGTGATCCTGTGATTAAAAATATTATTGTAAAGCAATTGAGAAAAAAATATTTATTTTATTTATTATAATTTTTTAGGATTATTTTTAATATTTTGTAATATTGATTTATTTTAAAAAATACAACATAAATAAATATATACAAACAAAAAAAATAAAAAATTTGTTAAATTCGATTTTTGAAAACCAAACCGAACTAACCGAATTAGTTCGATTTCGATTAGTTCAGTTAGTTATATAGTTTAGTTCGATTTCGGTTATTTTTAATTAAGAGTTCGATTAGTTCGGTTATTGGATATCCAATAACCGAACTAATTGTTTGCACACCCTTAAGCAGCAACAAGGAATGGCCGACAAGGGTTTCAAGGCACTAGGTTTCGACAGTTTTTTGATATGGTAAGATGGAGAAGGTCTTTGTATATAGCTTTTCTTAACAGTCGATATTAACAAAAGATTAAAGGAGAAAAAATAAAAAAAAATAGATTAACAACCAAATTGAAAGAGAGAGAATCTTCTTTGTTTTGAATCGGGAATTCAAGATTTGATTAGTTAGTAAAAAAATTTTATTGCAATGATTAAAATTTGTTATTTTGTGTTTGAGGTTAATAGGTTCTCTTTTTGCAAGCAAAGATTGAATGTTCGACATGAAAGAGAATCAAATAAAGAAAAAGTAATCAAAAAAGGAAATTGACGACACATTGAAATTTAAATATGGTGCAATTTGACTTATTCGGTGTAAAAAATGACCTTTACAACTCCAAATTTGTTTTGTCCATCACTTTCATTTTTTTTATTTAGTATTTATTATCTTTGTTTGTTGTGAGTTATAAGAAGTTTGGTTATATGTTGTGAGTTGTGAGTTGCAAGTTTGGTTTTAAATTGTTATACTTGCATTTTTTTAAAAAAAAAATAAAAACTTTACATACAACTGGAATGGTGCCCTACTTTGCGTAGGTGTTGCTTTTTGTATAAAACATAATTTTAAATTACATAATATTATAAATAATATTAATAATAATAAATTAAATATAATTATTTTAAAATATCAACATTTTAAAAATATTTTTTCATGTCTTATCAAACAAAATTTTTTAGTTAAATAATTTTTAATTTTTAAAAATATTTAATTTTTCATATCTTAATTTATGTTAATATTAGTATAATCATATTTTGTTAATTTCAATGATTCTAATAGTGAAATAAAATTAAAATTGATACAATGTAATTTATTGAAAGTAATTATTCATAAGCTACATAATTTATTTAATAAAGCTATTAAAATAAAATGAATTTTTTTTGAAAAAGTCAAAATAAAATGAATATTAGTTATATTTATTAAAATTATGTTAATTTTAATGATGAAATTTTGTAAATGTCTTTAATTTTAATTACTACTTTTTTATCTTATGCTTATAATTATTTAGGGTTAATCCACCTTGTGAAAATAATTTTAGGAACCTCAATACTTTTGGTAAGTCATTATTAACTTTATTCAATTGATTGTTTCCTTTTTGATTACTAATAAAATATTTTATTTTATTTTTATTTCTTTTTTAAAATAATTTCATAAATTTAATTTATACTTAAAAAAAGAAATTACATAAATAAAATAAATCAGCTAAACCTAAAGCTGAACCGGGTTGGATTTGAGTGAATCCGACCGACCTCTGCGTATTCCTTCCTTTGTTTCCATAAAACGACGTGGTTTTAGTTTTCGTATAAAGTCTTAACCTAACCTTTCTTTTTCCCCCACTGACCCTAGCAGCCAACCCGTTTCTCTAAATCCTTTGTCCCTTACTCGGTTCCCGGCGCCGTACCTTAGGCCTTTGTGGCAGCGGCTCCCTGTTTCTTTCCCTTTCCTCTTTTCTTCTTTTCTTCTCTTCCCGTTCCTTCTGCCGCTAGTTTCCTCTCTTTCTAAAAAAGCCTAGCCACCGTTCTTCTTCTCGGAGTGCAAGGTCGCCGTCACTCTAAAAACTGTATAAATACCTCGAAATCTATCTCTCGCTCCCAAAAAGGACAACATAATTTTCTTTCTCTCTCTAATAATCCAATGAATCATGTAATTTTAAATCAATAATTCTGATTTAATTTTAGTTTTGCTTGTATTCTTTATGCATTCATGTTTCTTTCTTCTGCAATAAGTGATCTGAAAAATAAATAATCTTTGCTAAATTGAATCTGAAATTGATTTATCTTGTATTTGATGTGTTATTTTTGATCTGGGTGTTTTTATTCTTCCAAAGGGTGTCAGATTTGGTTTTAATGGGTGGTGATTTTGAAGGGATTAGATAGATTCTAGTTATTGGGAGCTGAAGACTCTGTTTTTTTGTTGGTTTTTTTTGGAGTGGTTTTTACTTTGCTTCCTTATGAAGGGGATTGCCGCATCTATTCTATTGATGTTTTCAGGAGTAAGACTCAATTGAATCAAAGCCTGAGCACACATTGGTTTTAGTTAGCATATATGGGTTCTAAATCAGATTGATTATAGATTATGATCCTGCTTCTAGTGAGGCTTTAACCCAATTATTAGTTACTATCCGCACTGGTCTAAACGAAGCTGTTGCCTATATTATGGTGTTTGGATGTTTTAAATCTCTCTCATTTGTGTGTTTGCACATCAGCAAAATGCATCAGTGCCTGTATGTGCCTGTAATATCTGTGTCTTTGTACATGCCTGCTTTTTATATGGGAATAAATGTTGTGTTAATTTAGACAGTTAATGTTATTTTTCTTTGATATTTACTTCATGGGTCCCAACATGGAGCCCACTTGTGATGAAGGCTGAGCCAAATGCTGCACTAGTTGCTGCATATCAGTTTGGGATGTCTGTTTATTTGATGAGAAATATTTGCTTCTGCAAGGAAATCCTGGCATTGCCAGTTTTAGAGAAGCTTGCTCTTGATGACCTTTTTGTATGGTAAAATTTTGCCTCATGTTCGTAATATTACTTCAGATGTTCAATATGCTGTCACAAGAACAGAACGCATTGTAGCTTCTCTATCAGGGTGTGGGCAGGCACAAATACCACACAAGATTCCAGGTATTAATAATGTCTGTTTAAGAGGACACCCTAGTTGTTAATAATGGATAATCCGGTTAATCAGGTTGCATTAAGTCTCCTTAATCACTTTATCTTCACCTGCTGTAATCACTACGGTGCATCTGTTTGCCTATTGAACTAAGTCAATTTGAGCAAGCATGATCCAATTACGCTTGGCGCTGCCGTATAACCTACAAAATTTGATTAAATGTCTCACATCCTGCCGCTACAAATGCCTTCCCCCTCCAAACTGTGGATTATTGTTTACTTCATCTGCATTTTCTTCTTTCTCCCTGTCTTGTGCTACAAACATTATTTTACTCGTCTTTTCAAAACTATGTATACCTCTTGAATTACACACATGCACACGCACACTCTTAGAAGTTATACATGTACAATTAGTAACATAAAATGCAGCTGTTTTCCTTTGCTTTCCCTTTTTAAAGGACATATACTGCAAGTGTACTGGTTTGATAACTTTTGACTTAATTAAAAATGACATCTTTTCACTCTGAGTCTGAAGCTTCCCTCCTGCTTCTGTCTCATGATTATTTGTTTTAAAAAAACCTGTGCAGTCACTAGTTGCAACTGCTGGTGGATTATGTGTTGTTGTTAGGAAAAACATTGGAGAGAAGGCATGCATCCAGTGTGACTGAAGGTGACACTGGTGGACTAGCTCATCGGTTGAAGAAAATGTTGGTTGAGCGCAATGACTATGACAGTGCTAGGGATATAGCAAGGATGTTCCATCTCAAGGAAGCATTATGAATTATGCTATGAAGCATATGATATGATTAACCTGACTGAGTGAAACTAGTTACAGTTGTCCATGAATTGAAGAAAGGTATTCGGTATATTCGATTAATACGGCAAGAGATCACCATTGCAAATTTAAATTCAAAGGGTAGCTTTCCTGAGCATAGGTTGGGCTGTAACTAGGATGCTCTCTCTATGGACTCTAGTTCTTTTCGCTCCCCACTTTTAACTACTACTTCCCTCTTTTTCCATTATAACCATTTATCTTAGACGTCTGACATTAAGTTGGAAGTATGTGCTCTCTTATATCTTCAATAGTCTTCTAAGTTCTAACTGAAAGCTCTTTGGAGTTCTTTGAAAAACCTTGTAAAATTTTGGGATGCAATATAATTCTTTTGCTAGTGTTTCTGGTCCAGTTTTGTTGCCACTTATAAAGCTTTTTTTTTTCTTGTGCTGCTGCTAATAGTGTATGAGATAGGAATAGGATCTTTCCTTCGGATTCCACTAACCAAAAGGATACTAGTTTTATAACGTTGAGGGGCTTCCTGTATATTCAAGTGACATTCCCTTTTAGGTTCCGTTTCTAGTTAAATTGTTATTAATAGCCGCAGGAAATGCTAGATTGTTTATTGCATCTTCACTTACTCTCATGTGGAAGAGGGTACTTGTTTTGCAGTTTATTGTTCAGTCTCGTTTTTCTTCAAAATGTTGCTACGATGCTGCTCAAAGCAAATCATGTAAGTTTGTTTGTTTTTTGATAGCTCTTGTAAATTTGTTCATATTCAAAATCTCAAAAAGTCTCGAACTGTAGCTTTTTTACCAACTGCTGCCTTTTACCCTAGTGGTTAGAACTTGGAATATCATCTTGGAAGTCTCAAGTTTGGTGTTAGGATAGGTAGGATGGGATTTATGGGTATGACGTATGATGTATCCCCTTAGTCCACTGTGTGGACTTTGACATGGGTTCGAATCAACGATTGGATGATTGGAAAACTTTCTTTGCTCGATCTTGATTATGGTAGAAAGTTGGACCTGGAGCAATGGTCTATTATGGTACTAGACAATTCATTGTGATGTCATAGAGCTATGCATAATGCCATGAATTGAACCCTGAGCCTAAATCTAAGTAGGTTTCTGAATTGGTAGAGACTGATTCAGTAGTTATGGTTGGTCCCGGTCTGACAAACAATGAAGCACCTTCGGTAAAATGCTGTTAACCAATTGGGTTGGGACAGTTCTGTCGTTTGAATGTCCAACAATCCCTCCAAGTTTGGAAAATCTGATGAGTTTGGCAGCTAATGAAGAGAATGAAATCTAAATGGCATGTAAATTGAAAATTACCACCCAATGGCTAATGGAAAATTTGATAGTGCAAAGGTTGCTATTTTGTCCGCACCACAATAATGTGTGCAAAAAGAAATTCCTGTGGCTAGTATGGTGTTATGATTCATATTAACTTGTAAAGTATTGTCCATTCTGATTCATTGAATTTTAAAATTATGATTTTGTTGCATAAAAAGTTTATATTTTGATAGATAGTAGATGTGAGATTAAGGGCTCTAATATAATAAAGGTTTATCGTTAATCGATGTAGGATTCACAACTTCAATTTTGTATCCGTGACACATAACATTGCATTTCCAACATTTCTAACAAATTTTGAAAGTTTGACAGGTCCAAAGACATTGTTGGCTGTTAAGTTTGGTAGCTACTTTTCATCAGTGCCTCGGGACAGTGACTGTCAAATGAAGGCTGTACAATGTCAGAGGCATTCCCAAAAAAGGGGAAAATTCAGAGGCCTAAGGCTGTTAAATGTCGTTATTTGTGTTGCTTACTTCGTTCCGTCAGCTCATCTAAGTTCTCACCTAACTTCCACCACATATCAAGGAACATCAATCCAATCCAAGCAAGAAACCTCACCTTTTAAGCCAAAAGGAACCACCAAGCAACATCGATTTCTTGCTTTAGAATCTAATTTCAGAGCATAAGACAAGAGTTCGATGAAATTCCTTTTAACTCTTTTGCTGAACAAACAGTAACAAGACTTTCTGGAAAAAGGTAAGGGATACCCGTTGTCATTAAATACTTGAACTTGTGAACTGCCTCATCAACCACCATTGCCAACTGTAGATGGCCTACCATTTTTCAAATGTTAGGATGGATAGCAGTCGTCCATATGGCATTCCAACAACGTGAATTCAACAAGGGAAACAGGGAGGAAAAAAGGGTGAAGTTAAATCTTATATTTGATAAAACATGCGGAGCCCTGCTGTTACATAGCTGTTAGTGTCAAGCGAAACTGGTTGGTTACTGCATTTCTCTGTTTACCGGTGAAATGTGAGTCTATGGTGCTCCGGTATTTTATTTGCCTTGGCTGAAAGAGAGTGTTAAGCATGTTTTCCAAGCTTTTCGCCGTATATTTTGGAGTCCTAGTGGTATCACTGTGCTCGACTAGAAGGCTATATTTCTGCAAGTAACTTCTATAAGCAGGCACCAAAGCCTGCACTACAAGCTGGTGCATCTTCTGTCTCAAGCTTTCGTCGAAAATGACCCAATTGGACTGCTTGCTGTACATGTCATCAACGGCTTCATTGAATGCCTTCAGCCTCTTACGCAAATCAGATGAAACTGGATTATCCTGGCTTAGACAAGTAAGAAGTTTCCCCCAGCTCTCTCTCAAGTAGAGAGCTGAATAGTATTCCCTGTACTGTCCATGAGCACTTAACCAAGAATCTCCCATCAGATTCCCTAGCTCTGTGCCTTTCAGGCTGTGGAAATGAGAATGATTATTCATCATGAATATGTAGGACAACGGCCTTTGCTCATAGGTTTTTGACCAAGCATCCAAGTTGACTGCGATTTCTCTTACTATGCTGTAAATCTGGTTGGTAACAAGTCCCTCTTCATATTTTTCATGTTTCCAACCTTGACAGATTTTCAGTACTTGGGTCAAGACTGGTCTGTATTTGTCGTCCAGCAACTGATTACAATAACCAGTCACGAAGCTTACCAGCCTTGGAACGCCTCCATCTTTAGGGGGATAACTTTGTCTTTCCAGCTCCACTTGTACTGGAAGTTCCCAGAAAATCTCGCTAGCGCAATTAACAACTTTCGTGACCAGATCGCTTGTCATGGTTTTGATTTCAACGCAAGCTTCCCCTCCAAAAAGCTTGTTGAAATCCATTCTCATATTTTCTAGAACAGAGAAAATGCGCAACAAATTCAAGTGTTTGATAGGGCAGTTCTTACTCTCAGCAATGCTCATCCCAAACTGGAGGAAAGAAAGAATTCCAGACTGGGCTGCAATCTTCGCATAGCAGTCCATCCAAACGCCAGTTGCAATACTTCCAAAGACTTCCTTGCAGAGCCTGTGCTCAAGTTCCAGCACATGCTTCACAATGAACTCCATATGCTTGCTCCACTCTTCTATGCACCTTTCCATATCCTGGACGTCATCAAAATCTGTGATTGCCTTCTCAAGGTAAGCCAAATCAAGAGCTTGCAGACTTTTTCTAGCATTCAGACTCCGAACTTCAACAAATATGGACATGCAGTTCTTAAGCCTGTTACTGGCATTTAGTCTCTCAACAATCGCCTGTAACTTCTGAAGTATAAGCACCGGAAAAGGTGTTGCTGCATCACAGGCTTGCTCTGCTGTTAAAGAGGTTAATGCCAGTGGAACACTAATATCTGCCAAAATCTGCTTGAATGAAATTTCCAGCTTGTCAAATGCACCAGAGAGACAAGCATGTTCCCTAGTTGCTTGCAACTCTTGTAAAATTGATAATGATCGTCTAAGGTTCACGATGTACTTACCATCGGCAACAGAATTATCTTCCAGCAATTCCATAACACCTTGTAACCATTGAATTGCCAGGTTGCAGTTGCCTGTGAGAAATTTTAGTGCTTCTTCAAACTGTCTAATGGTTGAAAGGTAAGAGGAGAGATCAGAAAATGGGCCTGAGAACAGCGACTTCTCAAGCTCACGAATGGAATTGAAGATCTTCAGAACTGCTACAGCAGGGCCAAGAGCAAGGCTGACATGATCTCTAATAGCAGCAAATGTGCAATTCTTGGAAGAGCTAGGCCTAATAGCAGCTTCCGAAGATGCCAACTTTCTGTCTATCTCCGCTAATCTTGGTCCAGTTTTGTCCAAGGCCAAGGCAAGAGCTCTTGAATTCTCCAAGCTTGTTTTCAATAACTTCCTACTAGCCAAAAGATCGTCAAAGCTCTCCACCTCAGCCATGGTCCAAACAAGTCCTAATCTCAGGATTCCCAAGGGCCAACACAACACTATTTCCACCTTTTATAGGTTCAAAATGCAATGGTGAAAAGTCGTGAATTAATTGATTCCCATGGTTTCTTCTGTATCACTCATCCGCCATTTTTCTCACCCAACTAAAGAGAGCCAAACCAAACCTGACTTGCAAAACAAATATCTGAATGGGAAACTTCAACTACCATACCTCAAGATTTCTTGGTACATAAAGAAAGAAAGAAAGAAAGAAAGAAACCCAACTTGGAAGTTTAAAAGAGTATGCTGGTTTTTGTAAGGAAGCTGCTGTCCTCACATTTCAATTTCAACTGTCCCCAGCCACCACGAGGAGTTGTTCACAAGCACCTTACATGCGTAAATAAACTTCCACGGTGTGAAACCTCAATTCGCGTTGATTAGGTCCAAAGTACTGTTGTTTAAGCATTTAATTTAACAATAAATGTATCTATTCTTCTTCAAAGAACCATACTTCAATCTCACTTTATACACCACCATTTTATAAAAAGTTTAAACCAGACAAGAGATTTTTTTCAAAAAAAAGAAATAGTTGAAAAAGTTTTTAAATCATTTAAGAATAAGATTTATATTTAATACACTTACAATGTATAGAAACTATACACTATTAATGAGGTAAAATTAAAAATTTTTAAGAATTAAACTTAAATATTAAAAGTTTGTTAATAATTAATTAAATAAAAGATTAAAAAAATCTCTTTTTTCTCTCTCCCCATCTCCCCACAATGTCATTTTATTGTTTTGCCTTTTTTATCTCTCTCTAACTCCATCTTCTTCACCCCTTCTTCTTTTATTAAAATTTCAAATTAAAATATTTCTTTTTCCCAAACCTCTTTTATTTTTGTTTTTCTAGTTCTTCCATAAGCATCTAAACTAATATCTTATTGAATTCTCAAGAGAGTGTGTTGCTGAAACCCTAAGAGAGAGAAAGAATAAAATTTTTGATGTGAAAATTTTCTTTTCGTTGAGGAAAAGAGAGAGAAAAAAAGATTGCTTCCTTAAATTATGATTGTGGGATAGTATTAGCGTTAAAAAATTTTGTCATAACTTGCGTTAGAATTTTAATTTGATATTAAATTTATCTTAGTTAATTACTTTCACCATTTTTATTGGTTATCACATTATAATCCTAAATCAAATTAAAAGTAAAACCGTAATTTATTTATTTGAAACAAAAACAATTGATTATCACATTATAACTCTAAATCAATTGTAAAAATCACTTAAAAATGTAAACATTATCTTGAAATCTCCTGAAGTTGAACAAGTTTGCAAACTTAATTTTAATGCTAGAAGAAGAAGAAAGAGAGGAGAAGATAATCAGTTAGGATAAAAAAAAAAAGAAGAAGAGAGCAATCAAAGAACGTTATAAGGAAGTCAGACAGAGAAAAAAAATTTTGTTTTTTATTTAACTAATTATTAAAAACTTTTAATAATTAAGTTTAAGTATTTAAAATTTTTAGTTTTACCTCATTAATGAGGTGGCAGCATTTGGTAAGTTGAAAGTGTACATCAAATATTAATTCTTAAAAGTATTCAAATAAGTCTTTATTTTTCTACTGTGTTCAATCAAATTTTTACATTTTTATTTTTAATCAAATTGGCTCTTATTACTAATCATTGATTAGTTATAATTAGTCAATATACCACTTGGCATTTTATATTCGTATTGATATGATATTGATGTGAATAGTAAAAATACCTCATAGCTATGTCATTATACCATATGATCATCTATTATGATATTTTAGTATACTATGTCAACGTCATGTGACATAAAATAACAAATATCATTTTAACTAACAATTAATCAATCATTAATAATAAAAACTTATTTGACTCAAAATAAAAATTTAATTAAATTTAATAAAAAAATAAAAATTTAAATTTTTTTAAATAATTGAAAGGTAAATAGTCCGCAAACTTGCCCATTCTTTGACGTGGATATAAACTTCAAACACCGCTTTTGCATATCTTGGGCCGGAATTGGACAAAAAGTTTAGGTACAATAATTAATTCAAGCGGAGTTAGGCTAAGATTTCCAAGCTCAAGCTTAATTAAATCCCATCCCAATTAATTAGTTTATTGTTATTTACATATAAAAAATAATTAACATATTCACTAAAGTTTTTACCAAATGTGAATATTTACATTAGCATCAACAAAAAGATTTTAAAAAAAAATTCCTTAATTGGAAGTCAATTCAAAGAAGTATATTGTTGTACAAGTCTTGCCTAAAATAAAGTCTTGTGTATGATCCGAAAAGGTTATATTTTTTTGTTTTTGTTTTTGCTAAACCTCATGGAAATTATGGTTTACTTAAGTGATGTTTATTCTACATTAGAATTTCACAAAAAAAGTAATTTAATAAAAATTAAAATTCTATAAACTAATTAAATAAAATAATAAAAATTAATTTTTAATGAATTTATAAAAATAATAGACGATAATATCCATTTTCGTCAATTAAAAGTTTTATTAACATTGTTACTTTTATATATATTATAGATTATAATCAAATAAAAAATTCATTTTTGTATTATATTTTGTGTATTATATATATTTTTTAATAGCTATTATGTGTATTGTATAGGAAAATAAATATATTAAACATATATATCTATGAATTTATTGTACTAGTAAGAGCATTTATGGGTTAGTTTGTATTCATGTGACTTTTACAGAGAAGAAATGAAAAATCTTGATCTTAATATTTTTATTTTAAATTAAATAAATTTTTATGATTAATGATTAATTTAACTATTTTTAATCAAAGTATCATTTATTATTCTATATTACGTAATGTTTATATAACAGTTTGATATGTTATAATGAATAATAATATGATATGTTAATATTATATGATTACATGATCATGTGACAATTTTACTTTTTATACTAATACCATATATAAAAAGACAAGTGACATTTTATGTATTAATAATTAGTAAATCATTAATCATAAAAATATATTTGATTTAAAATAAAATACATAAGTTTAATTAAACGTAATTGAAAAAGTAAATATTTATTTAATTTTTTTAAATAATTCACAAAAATTTTTGAAAAATACTGCATATTTACACTTGATTTTTCCCCTTTCCTCATTTTCTTCGTGAGCAGATTGCAGGAGTCATGTTTTCTCACCAAAAAGCAACAACATGTAGAAAAATTGAAAGAAAATTAAACATAAAGAATAGAATTATACTTGGAATATTCCTATTTGCAGCAATTTGAATAGGAAACAACCAACAAAAGCAACCTGGACTAGAAAAATCAATGTAACTAATTAGGTAAAGTCAAATTTGTCTTTCCTCAACTTCAATTCCCTTTGATTGTTCTTGCTGTTTTGGTTTTTTTTTTTTTTCCTCTTAAAGTTAATATAAAAGTACATGTAATAAATACGAAGTAATATCACAATTAATTTAAAATAAATAAATAATTAAAATATAACACTAAGTGTAACGTAGATTTACAAAAAAGTAAATTGTGGTGTGAAAAAAATTACACATTTTTATTTATAATCGTCCAAAAATTTTATTTGCTTGTTGTATTATCTTTTGGATTTTCAGTAGCGAACAAATAACAAAAACACCAATTAAAAGGAGCTTTTATTGTTCATAAACCAACATTTACAATATCAAAAAAAGTAAATAATAAATTTTAGAAACACCAAATTTAGTCTATAAAAGTAATAGGAATTTAAAAATTGAATATTAGTTTATAAAAATATTTTATAAATTTAATAAATTATTAATTTGTTAGATTAATTTCAAGTCGATATTGATAAAAAAAATTATTTAATCGATACTTTATTGTATGTTAAAGATGTTGCTGACTTAGATTCTCATAAATAGAAACATGAAAATCAGTTGGAAATTTAAAAAGGAGGTTTTATTCTTAAAGCAAAGAAGTAGAACTAGTTTTGTCTTTGTTTTGACTAAAGAAAAAGGAAAGAAAGAATTTAGGCTTGTGGTATCTTTGTCAGGCCTTTAGGAGAAAGGTACGTTCAGAGGCGTTTGCTATAATAAAGGAATGATTATCGCCTTAAATCATGTGAAGTGAGTAAGGGCTAAGTCTCATCAGTCATGGGTCAACAAAGGAAGTGCAAGTGTCCAAATCACCCCAACCCACGCTAATAAATTCTTACTGCTAACGATAACCCACTACCTTAATGTAAAAGGGTTTAAATGTTCTTATTAAATAAATCTTTTTTTATTAGTTTAACGAAATTCATGTATTTTTATTTTTATTTAAATAAATTTTTTTGAGTAACTCTTGATTAATCAAAATGTCTCTTATCATTTTATATTCATATAATATTAACGTAAAAAATAAAAAAAATATCATATAATCATGATATCATAACTCGCAACGTGTTAAAATAGAAACAGAAAAAATAATTTTTTTTTAAATTAAAAGAAAAAGAGTTTCGAAGTTTACTTTTTAAGTAAAAAGATAATATATCTACTAATGAACTAAATATTCGAATATAGAAAAAACGATTTTTGAACAAGTAACCTAATCTAGAGATTAAAGCTAAAATAATATTTGCAGGCCAATTCGTACCAAAATATTGTAATTTCTAAGGGGTCCCATCCCATGGGTGCCTTACATTTAAAACCCATTTGGAGCTCACCTTAGATTCTTGTAACAATTAAATATTGTATTAGTTATCAAATTGTTTGTATATAGATTCCTATAGCTACTGGGATTTAATTGCGTAAAAATAAACACTAATTGTATTAAATGTACAATTAATGACAAGTGGTACTTGTTTATTTATAGAGGTTTGTAATATTAATTTATTTTATTGGGTAGTCTGCATTCAGCTCTTTCAAGATAATGACTGATGAACCACACCTGCTAAGGTCAATGCTCGATCACTCTTAAACTATGAATATACCCTTTAGCCAACAAAACGGAAGGCTTACCAATAAGCTTATTGAAAATAATGTCAAATTTTCTCTTTTTTTTTTGTTTTCTGTTTTATCTTAAAAACAGAGAATTCGAATAAATTTTTACAGCAAAAAATATATAAATGAGAAAGGTCGAATGTAAAATTAATAAATATTTTAAACCTTTTCATAATTTTTTGAAAAAAAATATTTTAAGAAATCAACGGTCCAATGTTTAACCATTTTATTTAATGTTGAATTTCATTATTTATTCACATAGATTATACATGTCAAATATCAAGTTAATTAAAAATATTTAACCATTTTATTCGACAATATAGTTTCAAAGGTTAATTATGTATTGAAAAAAAATTCAATCTTTAACTGACTAGATAACCATTTTTAGTCTACGTGATATAAATATCAAATTGACTTATATATAAGTATTTCGAAACCATATGTATATATATA